TATACCATCTTTAAGTTTTACAAGAATATTCTGACACGGAAATCCAAACATCAAGTAAGATTTTATCTATTATTTCAATGTATCATTTATAATATATAAGCAAATTATTATATGATTATATCATGTTATTATTATTGAAATAATTTGTATTTTTCAGAAGGGATTTACAGAAATGCAAAAGTAAACACATGTATTGCAGAGAATCAAATCCAAAAAAGTACTTTTTCCACAAATATTCAATTTAATACTTGTTTGCAATTGTCTACATATATATCTGACATAATTATAGACTTGCGTTTTATTTTAGTATGTAATATATATTTCAGTTATAACACATGAGTCTTTTAGTAATAATAACGTACCTACATCTTATGTAAACGAAAAGTGTAATAAGGAAAACAATACACCATTAGGTAAATGCATGTTTATTATTTCAATATATAACTTAAATAATATACAAAGAATCGTTGTGTTAATATTTATTAATTTTTTAAGAAATATGTACAACTGGAAAAGAGAAGAAAAGGAGTGGAGAGACATATAATGATTCTTCAAATAATAACGTACCTGGCCATCGAATATAAATGTCGAATATACTTCTAGTATACAACAAAGATATCCTCAACAAGGTATCTTACATGTTTGTCATTATTTTTTATTTAAATAAATGTTTACGATATTTGAAATTAATACTAGAACTGGGGAACATATATGTAGAATAAGCCAATTTTTTATTACATTCTTTTAATTTTCATTAATATCTTCACAAATATTTATCTTTAAATATTTTTATTTTAAGATTATCGTAGTGTTCTATAATTAATTTATAATATGTGAAACGTACAAACCATTTCATTTTATTGATAATTAAATAACAATATACATATAGATATAAAGAACTGAAAAATACTTGAAATTACATATAGAAATAAGGAACTAGCTTTATATTGAATGCGATTATATTATTGTTTAATAAACTTATATTATTTAATAACTTGCAACAACTTTTTTATGTGTATAGGCGTGAATATGCATAGATACAATACAAGTTACAGCACAAGTACAGATAAACAGATATTTGATGATGCTCATCTTTGTACATGCTGCCCTAAACATAAAAATTATGGTACATATTAGAATGCATTGAACACTTTAAATTTAATGCTTTTAATACATTTTAATAGCTTTTATATTGTAAAGAGTTTTACTTGTATTTATATTAAAATGTTTTTGTATTTTAAGATGAAAAATTCCGGAGAGTGTTCAAAGAATTATTTTTGCTCAGAGAAGTAACAAAAGAATGCTGCGAAGATTTAAAAGTTACATTTTTACAAAAATATAATGCAGATAAAACGAATGAGAATGAATCTACATTTTTAAGTACATTCAATTTTCCTTTGCGACGTATAGAACATTTGAACGAAGTGGAACAGTATCTTGAACAACGAATAATTTTCAATCCACTGTAGGTTTTCTATATTTTTCTTTGATATAAGTTCCCATTGGTAATTATCCGTTATTCTAAAACTAATGTAATTATAATTAATTATATATAATTTTAATATTTTTCAGATAAAAGAACTTTCAAAAATGGGAGGATCTACTTTAAATGATTTTGTAAAATGATGTTTATCGCTTCTTTTTTCAAATAGATTAGCTGAACAATATTCCTGGTATGGTGCTAAAAAAAAGCAAGTGTTTGGAAAACTATTTCTCGCAAGTGTGTTGCAAGGTAAATTGTTATGTAAATATCTAATTTGAATATAAAACATAAATAGTACACAAATTGACTGAATCGCAATGGCCAATTTCCGCAAAGCGTACATACACGTATTTTTCATCAATATTTTGTACATTATGAAATATATGTGTAAATATACATAAATATGGTCTTTGCGAAACGCAGCCATTGTCAGTTATAAGAAATAACATAACAAACTTATTATAGTGTTTAACAAACTACATACGATAACTATAACATAATAATTATATGTCTTATAACCATTGTCTTTATACATTAGTATTGGTAAAACCATGTTTTTTTTTAACAAAAATAAATCTATGAAAACAACCAATGTTTTTACCCAATTTTGTAGGTTTTGGATATGTTGAAATATAGACAAAAAAATAAAAGATACATTCTTTTATAATTGTTTAATCACACATTAAAGAGATGACATACCTTTTCGAAAAAATTGACAATTTTCTTTTGAAGCAAAAATCGTTGATATATAAAAGGTAGAAAAAATGTTTTATAATAGTTGAATTTTTCAAGAATATTTCATAATAAAACTTTCGAAAAAATTTTAAAAATATTTACCATTATTATAAGGAACTTTGAAAACCGTACAGCTTTTATTTGAAATAATGTTTTCAATCTTTAACTTTCGATAATATTTGTTTAAAATAATAATCGATTAACATATCCAAAGTTTATTAAAATCGAAAGGTCACTTGGTTGTGTCCCCTTGTAGTCCAAATTAGTCTAAAAATGGCTTTGTATTTATAAATTTTTATTTCTTATCAACGCTTTCCCTTATAGAAATATCATACTAAGAATCATTGATAATTACTTAT